CATAATACCACAAGTGGAAAATCCCACACCTGACCTTATGTGATTGTACAGTCAAAATGCAGATGCACTAAACGTTTTGTATGAAATTTGTGTATGAGGTGTATATGAAACATAAGTGAAACATTTGTATTTAGACTTGCTTATTATCCCCAAGCTATCTTATTATACACATGCAAATATTCTGAAATCCAGAACATTTTTGGTTCCACACATGTAGAATAAGGAATACTTAACCTTATATTCAGTTTTTTAATGGAAATGACTTTTTAGCTTATGCAATAGATTCTAATTTTATAACAGTCTAAAATCTGTGCATCAGTTCACTGAAAAAGTATACTTGCTTATTGGCTTTAAAAATCCATTCTTTCCTGAGAAAGAATTTTTACCTCATCAGTTTTGGGATCTCCATATGAAACACTCATTTAGCAGTTGCTTTTTGTCAAGTTTTATGACAATAATAATACAAGAACATAAAATTAATTATTGACTATGGTATAGATTCAGTACAACATTCTGGATTTTCAGTCTGTGAAAAGATGAAAGTCATATTAACCAACTCTAGGCAATCACTGTTTGCTGCATATATTGTGGAAATGCAAGCAGACTACATTATGATGAATCTTATTTAGCAAAACAATAAAAAACTACAATGAAGTTCACGTAATTCTGTGCTCTCTTACAGTGATTAGTAGCTTACTTCTTGACCTGAATTACAAGAATTTTGTGATTTTACAAATTAATTCTTGGATACTAATATGTTTTTGTTCAAAAGTCTTATTTATGTTTTAAGATCTCTTTGATGCCTTTAAAAAAGATAGAACGTTTAACACTAACTTGAACTAAGGTAGGAAACTAGTTATTGAATTTAAATTCAGTTGGAGGCAGTTGCCTAAGGTATAAACTAACTAGATCTCAAAGTTTCCAGTGACCAATAAATAAGGCACAGAGACCTTTAAAGACCTATAAATAAGACACAGAGACTTTTTAGCAGGATACCTAGCTGAATTTTATACCCAGCTAAGTGACTTAAGCCTAGAAGGTGCTTGGTAAATACTTATTTGGAGACATTTATGCCCCACCCCCACCTGTTTTTCTCTATGGCCTCATCTCTTTTAGGCCTCAGTATGAGGTAGCTCCTTAGACCTTCATTTTTTTTCCACTTTTTAATGTTTGGGCTTAAACTAAGCTAACTATTTATCAGAAAATGGTTATTAAAAAATAACTATTTGGATCTATTATTGTAATAATGTTATGTTCTCTGTGATGATTTTGTTGTCTCAAATACTTTTATTTTTAAAACTCTTCACATTTTGTCCTGTTTTGGGACAGGATCTGCACATAATTGGGTTTATACATATTTTAGGGATAAGGATCATAATTTCAAAATATAGCAGCAGCTACAATTACACAGTTCAAATTTTGACTGTCATTAAAGATTATGTTAAAATTCTCTGTATCTGAAATCATTTTAAAAATGCTTTTCTTCAGCAGAAGACAGATGGGCAATGAAAACATGCCTTTTAATTGCGTCCCTTGTTCTTATATTCTGTCCTGGTCTTTCATGAGTTTTTGTCTGTGAATCTTTTACATTTGGACACCAATTAATAGTTCACTTGTAAAAACTTATCAGAACTTAAAGCAGGTAAATTTTGTAATATGTAAATTATATCCCAAGCTATTAAAAATACCTAAAAGCATTTTCAGTTATATTATGAAGCAGCTTTGTTTTAATGTGAGAAGGTGAAGAACACATGGTAATTTATTTATATAAGTTTCAAATGTTGTGACTTTTAGAATATTCTAAACTTTTCTTTTGATTCATAATCATATATCTTAATGAGAGAGAAAAGTAAATATGAGGTAATGACTAAAATTTGAATCTTATTTTTAGCATTGGAATGCTGTTACAGAGATGAATCAGAGTACATACTCAAATATTCTACTTCATGCCTGGTTCCTCCTTTCCTAGTTTTCCATTGAGGTCTGAAATCTGGCTAACTAATTAAGTAAGTAAGGAAATATACTATACTAAATTCGGCTGTTTTGACTTTTCTCTGATGAGCAAATGAGATTAAGATCTTTTCTTTCTAAGATATTCCATTTATCATTTCAGAAAGCTGTATA